AACAAGAAAGCAGCACCCGCTGCAACGCGCCACACCGCCGAAAACCCACTGGCCATGCCATAAATACCCGCGATGGTACTTGTGCCGACCGAACATACTCTCGTCTGGTTCTACAGTCACGCCGTCGCCACCAATCATGTCTGAATGCTTAAAGACGGCATTTACCACAACCTCCCGACAAAGGCTCGCCCAATCAGTTATTGTCTTACTTGCGATATCAGCCTCCCGCTGAATGACGGCGCACGGTAGGTTCTGGCATCCGGAGGATGATTTTCATGAGTTGGAGAAGCGTCAGGTGCGTGCGATCCTTCGAAAAGGGAACCGCTCCGTATCGAGACTTCGCTCCGGCACTGAGCTTTGACCGACTTCCTCTTGGGCACCTCACGAATCATCCACACACCGCACCCCCCCCCCCCCCCCCCGTGTATACCCATCCGCAGGTCTAGCGTGGACTTGCAGGTTGTCATCGCAGCTTCGCACTCTGGACACGCACGAAAACCCAGGAGCCAGGAGCAGGCCAACGCGCTAAAGCAAATTAATTGCTTCAAGAGGGTCTTTCATGGTGCTAAGAAGACGGCACAAGTTGAACGCCATGGCACTGCGATGCTCGCCTCTGGAAGAACAAAGCGCCGAGAGGGAACTGCGCGCTTCTTTGCATTTATTATATTTATTTCATCCGCCATTTTATACCTCGTGACACAATTCTAACAAACTCATTGGTTGATCGGTCGGACCACACCATCGCGTGACAAAAAAAAAACAAAAAAAAAAAACGCCAAACGTATGTTTACGGACGGCATCGTCACAGAGAAGGGAGCAGTCGAACTCAATAACAAAATGAAGTAACAAAGTGAATAAAAAAAAAATAAAAAATAAGAAGGGAGCCGTTGGAGTTTCGGACGGCGTCTTCTTTGATGAGAGGAGCTGCTCTGGCCAGAGCGGCCAGAGCAGCCGTGCTGCTCTGGCTGCTCGGAATATTCCTTTTTGTTCTTTTTCTTACTCTACAGGGTGTCACGACCCTTATTTGAAGCTGATTTGTTAAATTAATAACAAACAACGCGTTGGAACGGAGGAGGTAGAGAGTCTTGGTGTCAGAATTTGACGTGGTAGAAAAGAAAAGAAAATAACGAATGCACAATACATACCGTATGCCAAGACCGTTATACTCCGCACTTGGCGAGGCCTTATGACGCAGCCGACGACCGTAAGGCTATTTATTTTGTTTCTTTAGATTTTTTATTGTGACGACTACTGCACTGTGCCTCGGAGTCTCCAGCGGAGATCCGGCAGTTTTTCATAATTATTATTATTGTCGTTTGAAGGGCACTCTTCGTATGCTGCTTCGTTTCTGACGCCATAAAAAAATGGGGCGGGATTACTTTGCACCACGTATAAACAAAAATAAAAAAAGTTTAGTTCATGGTCGGATTGGTTTGTGGATACAATTAGTCCAATAAAATTAGTCCAATAATTGATAAGTACGATTATTTAGCTTCATTATTAGCATCTTTTGTGTGCATGCGTGAAATACAGCACACAACGAGAAGACACGAGAACAACGCTGCAACTGCTGGACCATAGACCACTTTTGAGAAAATGCGCCGCATGACAGGGAGGGAGTAAGGGATACAAAAAGTAGACTATTTAATGTCACCAAATTCCTGGGCGGGGAACACTTGGCGGTATCAGTGTATCGTTTTGAAAGCGATACAAAAACACGTCGGGGACACTGGACTTCTGGACCAACTTTGAGTGCGTGCGCGTCTGATGTGTGTTTAGGCCATTCTTTCTTTTTAGATTGTAGGCGGGAAAAATCCACTCGGACTAGAGCCTGAGTAATGCAGAGCTGTTACTCAGGCCCCAGTCAGTGTGGATTTTTCGCGCCTATAATCTAAACAGAAAAAATATTTTTATGGCGTCAGAAACGAAGCAGCATAGAAAGAGTGTCCTTCAAACGACAATAATAATTACTAAAACCTGCATGCCGGATCTCCGCTGGAGACTCCGAGGCACATTGGAGTAGTCGTCACGATAAAAAATCAAAAGAAACAAAATAAGAGCCTAACGGTCGTCGGCTGCGTCATAAGGCCTCGCCAAGTGCGGAGTATAACGGTCTTGGCATACGGTATGTATTGTGCATTCGTTATTTTCTTTTCTTTTCTACCACGTCAAATTCTGACGCCAAGACTCTCTACCTCCTCCATTCCAACGCGTTGTTTGTTATTAATTTAACAAATCAGCTTCAAATAAGGGTCGTGGCACCCTGTAGAGTAAGAAAAAGAACAAAAAGGAATATTCCGAGCAGCCAGAGCAGCTCCTCTCATCAAAGAAGACGCCGTCCGAAACTCCAACGGCTCCCTTCTTATTTTATTTTTTTTTATTCACTTTGTTACTTCATTTTGTTGTTGGGTTCGACTGCTCCCTTCTCTGTGACGATGCCGTCCGTAAACATACGTTTGGCGTTTTTTTTTGTTTTTTTTTTTTTTGTCACGCGATGGTGTGGTCCGACCGATCAACCAATGAGTTTGTTAGAATTGTGTCACGAGGTATAAAATGGCGGATGAAATAAATATAATAAATGCAAAGAAGCGCGCAGTTCCCTCTCGGCGCTTTGTTCTTCCAGAGGCGAGCATCGCAGTGCCATGGCGTTCAACTTGTGCCGTCTTCTTAGCGCCATGAAAGACCCTCTTGAAGCAATTAATTTGCTTTAGCGCGTTGGCCTGCTCCTGGCTCCTGGGTTTTCGTGCGTGTCCAGAGTGCGAAGCTGCGATGACAACCTGCAAGTCCGCGCTAGATCTGCGGATGGCTACACAGGGGGGGGGGGGGGGGGGGGGTGCGGTGTGTGGATGATTTGTGAGGTGCCCAAGAGGAAGTCGGTCAAAGCTCAGTGCCGGGGCGAAGTCTCGATACGGAGCGGTTCCCTTTTCGAAGGATCGCACGCACCTGACGCTTCTCCAACTCATGAAAATCACCCTCCGGATGCCAGAACCTACCGTGCGCCGTCATTCAGCGGGAGGCTGATATCGCAAGTAAGACAATAACTGATTGGGCGAGCCTTTGTCGGGAGGTTGTGGTAAATGCCGTCTTTAAGCATTCAGACATGATTGGTGGCGACGGCGTGACTGTAGAACCAGACGAGAGTATGTCCGGTCGGCACAAGTACCATCCCGGGTATTTAAGGCATGGTCAGTGGGTTTTCGGCGGTGTGGCGCGTTGCAGCGGGTGCTGCTTTCTTGTTCCCGTGGAGACCCGTGACGCTAAAACCCTGCAAAGGCTAATAGCCGAGTGGGTCCGCCCTGAAACAAGAATAATCACTGATTGTTGGGCTGGCTATCGCAAGCTTGCAGATGACGCTCGCTTCACGCACCTCACCGTCAACCATAAGCTTAACTTTGTCGACGCGAACACTGGTGCGCACACCAATACGGTGGATTGCACCTGGGCCCACGTCAAAAACTCTCTTCCATCTGGACGGCGCGAGAGCCACCATTTCACTGGTCAAATTGCAAAGTTCATGTTTTGGAGAAGAGACAAGGCGCGCGGAAACACTGATAGATTCCAGTCGTTCGTCGCCGCGGCCGCCAAAATCTAGAGCCCCGACGCAGACATGGCGAGGATTCTGACGGCCCCGGTGACTTCGAGGGATCCGCTGCGCTGAGCCCGTCACCCGCCTGCATGCATAAAGACGACTTATGCGCCAGCCACTCGTCAAGTGCTCGTTACGTCAGTTATAGGTTCTGGTAGCGGTCTAAACGGTCCTTTTCAGGGCCCCCATATTTTGCAAACGGAGCTGTGTTTTTAATGCGGCACCCCGTGACTCTGTAAAAAGTTCACAGGAAAGACCCAGCAAAGGTATGTGGTCCCCAACTTGGATATCGGGTGTTATGATTCAAATAAAAATTGTTCTTGCTTATTTCGCGCCTGTGATCAAAATAAATGCCGCCGTTGCAGTCGTCCCGCGGTGCTATTGCTCGCCCATTCGCCGTCGGCGTGCCTCAGCTTCGTCGTCTTTGCTAGCGGCGCACCGGCGAAGCCGGCCTTTGATCCGAATAAATGCCGCCGTTGCAGTCGTCCCGCGGTGTTGTTGCTTGCTCTATGGCCGTCGGCGTGTCACAGCTTCGTCGTCTTTGCTAGCGGCGCACCGGCGGAGGCGGTTGATCTGACACACCGCGTTCGGCTTTGGCTAGCAGACGGCGTTCGTAAAATGGCGTCAGCTGTTGCTAGCTTCACGCGGCGGTACCGTGCGTGCTTCTATTCATTTGGTGTTCGTTGCCATGGTGACGGCAAGGAAAGCAGACGAACTTTTTGATGCGGAAGAACGCTGCGGCGTAGCGATACCAGGTGCGTTCTAAGGCCCTTCCCGCATGCTTTTCAATGGGCGGAAGGCGAACAAAAAGAGTTCGAAATAAGGACTTAACGCAGAAGGCTGCATTTCTCCAGCGCCTCATAATTTGACGAGCCTTGCACGAAAAGCATGTTTTTAGACCGGAGTTTGGAGATAGTTTTTTTTACAACAACATGGGTCTAAAGTATCAATGTGCCGAATGCCCAATCCCAGTATGTATTTTGGCCTACATTGTTAGTGGTGTTTGGTGTGCCTGCAGATGCTATCACTTGGTGCACCACTCTTACAGGAAAGAGACCGAGCATGCAAGAGCAGCACATTGGCCACGGCAAGGGAAACTCTGCATTTGGATGTGTCGCCCAATGATGCCTCCGAAAAAGACCGAGACCATGAGGCATCACATAGTGGACCTTCTGTCATCCAAGTGGATCCAGCTAGTGCAGAATGCCCAATCTCAGTATGTATTTTGACCTACATTGTAGCCTGCTGTTTGGTGTGCCTGCTATCACTTGGTTCACCACTCTTACAGGAAAGGGATCGCACATGCAAGAACAGCACGTTAGCCACAGCAAGGGAAACTTTGCATTTGGATGCGTCGCCCAGTGATGCCTCCGAAAAAGACGGAGCCCACGAGGCGTTGCATAGTGATCCTTCTGTCGTCCGAGTGGATCCAGCTAGAGCAGAATGCCCACTCCCAGTATGTATTTCTGCCTACATTGTTACGTGCTGTGTTTGGTGTGCCTGCAGATGCTATCACTTGTTGCACCACTCTTACAGGAAAGGGACCGAGCCACTTCAGTGGCGTCGCAGGTTGCAAGCTCGAGTGAACTTACGTGCGTGTATGTCATCCGGCCACCCACATGCAGTACATGGAGCCAGACATGTTCAAAAAGGCTAATAAAAGGTGCCTGCACAGTAAGAATTTTGAAGAATGTATCCTAAATATCACGATTTTCATGTTCCAGGTACACAGACGCCAAAGTCTTGGTATGTCAGCAAAGGCATACAAACAGAAAAACCTTCGCAAACATCGGTTGAAATTCAGGCGTCGACCACATCCTCCGGTATGTGATGCAGTGTCTTTACATAGGCTTACATTTGAAAGAAGAGATCATAACTGAATTTCATTTGCAATGCACTTTTGTTGCAGATGCATTGCACAGCTGTGTTCGTCCCGCGAGGACCAGTCCGTTTCGGAGGTGGCAGGCCCAAGTCCCCTGGGAGATGAGACCGGTGCCCCAGGACATCTACAAGCAGCAGAAGGAACTCAGGGTGAGCACTTACACGAAATTGGAACAAAACAATGAATAACTGTCTCTATGCTTATTCCTACTGTGTAGCAGAAGCAACCTTCGCACAACACGAGCAGCCACTTCAGCGGTGCTCTACGCCTATCAGTGGCACAGTCCCCAGCTCTTTGGACTTGGACGACACTCCTCAGACTTCGCAGCCCGACACCGATCCTGTGGACATGAGCGATGAGGAGAGCGACTCTGAGGACATGTACAGCGATGCCCTGGACACCAGCTATCGGCCAAATGATTCGATCGACTCAGATGAGGAACTGGATTCTCCAGACACCAGTCCCTGGAACGACTCCGTGACCTCGGATGGTGAAGGACCTGATGCGTATGTGCTCACTGTACCTTCTCGAAACCATAATTTTATGCTACAAATAGGATATAGCTTTGATGTTCTGGATTTTGAGTGTTAAGTCCTAAATGATCACCTAACACAAAGGCTTCAGAAGTATATCTGATGCGTGGGGGCAACATCCGGGGGCTCATGTTGCATCGTGTAGTTCACCTCTCTCTCTCTCTTTATATATATACCGGGTGATTCAGGGAGACGGCAGGCTCTTTAAATCGACCGGAAAATTCGGTTTCCTAACCTATCGCGCTACGACTTTGTGCAGCGTTGCCCACAGATGGTGCATTTTTTTTTTTTTTTTGTAAAATTTGGGAAGAGCGAACTTACCTGAGGAAAAAGTAAAGAAAGAAAAAGGCTTAGCTCCTATGGAAACGCAGCGACGCCACCGGTCTTCAAACAACACGGTGCCGTTTCGCGCGGGACACAAGAGATGACGCAACGAACGAGCGTACGGCGCCGAGAGCCGGCCTCTTTAGCAGACAATCTTTTCGACTCAAAAGCGGCGCGCGTTCCGCGGGCGGCGACAGTCGCAAAAACAAAAACAGGTGCGGTAACAACAGGAACTGCAGTTCCTTGTCTGCTAAATATGCCGGCTCTCGGCGTCGTCTGCTCGTTCGTTGGCGGCAGTTAGCGTCGCGACCGTTTGCGCCATCTCTTGTGTCCCGTGCGAAACGGCGCCGTGTTGTTTGAAGACCGGTGGCGTCGCTGCGTTTCCAGCCTTTTTCTTTCTTTACTTTTTCCTCAGGTAAGTTCGCTCTTTGCAAATTTTACAAATACAATGCACCAACTGTGGGCAACGCTCCACAAAGTCGTAGCGCGACAGGTTAGGAAACCGAATTTTCCGGTCGATTTAAAGAACCTGCCGTCTCCTTGAATCACCCGGTATATCAACAGCAACTGACGAAGCACAGTGCAGAAAAATGAAGGCTGCAGTCTGATAGAATCTTTGGAGATTGATTAGTGAGAACGCACATATTGGACAAACAATGAATGACAACTTCAAACGAACGGATTAACAAGGCTTCCAAAGAAAGAATACATGTCACCAACTACTGATTAGCTTGTGGCACCTCGTCGTCTATGGAGTGCAGCCTGCTTCAACAGCCTCACGGGTGGTGAGAGGGGGGGGGGGGGGGGGGGTCGGAACAGCTTTTAGGGTGGGGGCATGCCCCCTGTGGTGTAGAACCTGTGGGGGCAACTGCCCCCCTGGTTCCGGAGCCACTGACTTAACAACGAGCGAAAGCGTAGAGGAAATGGAAAAAACACAGCTTCTGAAGCAAGTTTTAAATGCACTGCTTGTTTTGTTTTGCAGAGAGTGCAGCACCTCTGCCACGACCACCAACCCCGTGAAAGAAAGGAAGTTCATCGTCTGCGCTTCAATGCTCCTGCAGTTGCTTTCGGTCTGTAGGGAATGCTTGGCTCCTGCACATACAAGTTTGAGGGAACGAGGGACCTTGCTGCATGCCGTGACTGTGTGTGTAAGGGGCCACAAGACTGTCTCGGAAAGCCAGCCCAGGATTAATGGGAAGGCAATGATGAATCTTCTCCTACCCGCCGCCATTACATTCTCTGGGGCCAGTCCTACACGAGATATTCGTCTCCTGAGCTCTGTAGGTGTTGCCGTTCTTCAAAAGAGCCAACTCTTCCTGATTCAAGGCTGTCTGGTGTTCCCTGCCGCTGCAAAGGTGAGTACACCTGCCTAGAGAATTGTTGGTTAAACATGTATCTCTTTGTGTTGAGATTGATGTTATATTTCTGTATTTCAAAGGTATGGAAAGAAGAGCAGACCACCCTCCTTACAGCGATGCGTGGCAGCAAGCTTCACCTGGCAGGCGACGGCCGTGCCGATTCTCCCGGCTACTCGGCGAAGTATGGCACGTACACGCTGCTAGAAAAAAACATCAACAAAATCCTACACTTCGAGGTTATCCAGGTAAGAACTGGCTAAGTAGAAAATTGCCTACTTCAATTGAGTTATTTATCTTGTTACCTTTCGTTTATAACTAAGTAGAATATTTGTTTGGGTATTGTTTTATGTAGATTTGTGCGAATATTTGAATAGTAGTTTCGAAAGATACGATATTCGATATTCGCTTCGACATGAACTGGACTATTCGCGTTTTTCGAAGTCTTGATTGCGGCGGGTTAGCTCCGTTGAGTGCACTTCTTACCGAGCATTAGTGCACTAGCAATGCCCGCGGAAGCGAGCTCCGCAAGTAGCGCTTCTCTACATTGCATCTGTGCTCGGTAAGAAGCGCACTCAACGGGGTAACCTGCCGCAATAAAGACTTGGAAAAGTATAAATATCGCAATTGCGTGCTTGGAAGAAAAGCATACATCAAAGCGGGATAGTGCACGCGTGCCAGCTGTATTTGAAAATAAATGGAAAATTTGTGAATGTGTATATCTACATTGTAGTAAAAATTTCAAAATTAAACAGACTGTTATGCAAGATTATATTATGTTAGGCAAAGATGCCCTTACAATCTGCATTCAGCATGCGCGATTCAGTATTTTTAACCCGAGATTAACGAAAGAACATTTTATATAGCAAGATGTGTAAATTCACTCAATTGGGTATAGATGGCCATCTCTATAGGATTCATTTTATGTCAAATCCGTCGTTTACTTGTCATCCCAAGACATCAGACCTTCCGAGGTCACAGTTCATAAATATAGATAAATTAAACTCAGCTTTTAAATGAACAAGTGTTCTATATTTTGTTACCTTTTCTTTTTACATCAGTCAACAGAAGTCAAGTCCAGCAACAACATGGAAACCGAGGGCCTCAAACGTTCCTTCGACCATCTCCAGGGCTGGAAGTTCTGCCCGCATGTGCTCGTCACGGACCGCCACTTTGGGGTGAACGCCCTGATGAAGAGCAACTACCCCAACACCAAGCACCGTTTCGATGCATGGCATGTTGCCAAAGGTAACATTATCTTACCAAACGGATTACGTAGTACAAGTGATGCTGAACTTAGTTTTTAGTTAGCTTGGTGCTGCCATTTGTTTTAGTTTGTTGAACATATATGTATATTGTCATTCAAAATGCATTGTTACTCTGCTTGCCATGCACACACCTTTTCTAATTTTAAGGCATCGGGAGCAAGCTGGCCCTCGCGGGGAAAACAAAGCACAACAGCCTGCTAAACAAGTGGGTCAAGACTGTCCGGGGACACGTTTACTGGTGTGCCCAAACCAGTGATGACAATGGTGCACTGGTGCTGGCCAAGTGAATGTCCTTGATGCGCCATGTGGACAATGTGCACCAGCATCCCGACCCGCTCTACCTTGCTTGCACGCATGCCCCAATCGTTGAAGAACGCTGGTGGCTTCATAAGGGTAATGTTGACATATACCAGGGAATTTACAGTGTGCATCATCCTTACCATTTAACCTGGTGCTGTTTCTAACTGCAGGAACTGAGCCGTACGACGCCCTCGAAAAGGTGGTAATGTCACGACAGCTGCTGAAGGACATCCCTAAGCTGTCTGGAGATGGCCAGACGTACCGGCTCGAGTCCTTTCACAGCCTGCTGCTACGATTTACCCCAAAGTCGAGCCACTTCAGTCTGGAGGGCATGGAGGCACGGTAGGTTGAGATTTTGAAGTATTCTAGGGCAACGAGGTTCCCTTTTATGTTTGTAGAATGGTGAAATATGCTAAGGACATATTCTGCCTATTTTGCGTGGCCTTCACAGGACTGCCATTGCTGTCCTTCATTACAACGCCAACTCGGACCGAAAGCAGGCCGCAACCAAGGTTGGCAAGGACTGCTTTGTCCTGAAATTCCCCAAGGCGAGGAAAGGCGAGTGGGTCGTCAACCGCAAAATGGAGCCTGCGTCCTACGGTAAATGCAAACGTTTTTATTGACACAATGTATGTGACTTAATTCTTATCATTCTTGACCTAGACTACACCCAGAAGCTGTTCGGCTGCTTCCTGGAACTGGCAGAGGGAGTCCGGACCTACCAGGAGGCCCATGCCACCTACGTTCTCCGCTTACGAGGGAAGTCTCTGTGCAGCGTTTCCCAGAGGCCAAACAAGGAAGCCGCCATCCTGGACCCACAGGTCCAGGTTCTCGACTTAGCAGTACTGGAACCCTGTGTATGTGGCCGACGGAAACGGTTCCCTAATCCTTCTGACCACACAGCATGGGAGCCTGACACGTCGGCGACGGCCCAGCCTGCCCCAAATCCACCATACAAACTCCTTGTAGGCCGTGAACCTGTATTTTCTGAAAAAGGTACATGCCATGTAGCATTTCGGTAAAACTTGCTTTACCTGAACTATCAAGTTGAGACACTCGCGAACCAGCACCCTTTCATTTCAATAACAACGAGCAAGACTAGTTTATTTTCCCCACAACTTGTATCTTTGGGGTCTGTCAGTTGCTGCACTTCGGCAACTCAGTTTGCCACAAAGGGCTTCCGTCGGTTTGCTGCCCCCTTGACCCAGTACGTTGGCACTGTGGAGTCCGTCCAGAGCCGCGTGGAAGCACTTTTCAGGTGTAGAGCTCT